AGTTTAGCACCCTGAGGAACCAGAGCCTCCAGTCACTCTGTGATTCTCATAAGTGCAGCTTTGGGTGGCTGGCTAGTATGTATGTGCAACTTGTAATTAACCTTTTAGCCCTTAAGAGTGACTATCATCTAATTTCTCCTCACAATCACTGGTGAATCAACCATTGAGGTTGTGAGAATAAAGAAAATTATCACCAACTAAAAAAGCTCTTGGTTTTTAAACAAATTCTCCTTGCCAATACCAAAAGAAACACATAGAGAAGAGCAGGGAGAAAATACTGACTGATGTTCAGGCAAAAAGTGGGTTAATGCTAATTACCTTAAATGTTTGGAAATTTTCAGGAATGGCTACTAGGGACATCTTGTTTGCAGACAGAAGAGAAAGAAAGAATAATGAATTTTGTCTTCAAGAAAGATGCTAAATCAGCTCTGGTAAGTAGCCACATTTCAACCCATCCTACTGGTAAATCGTTTTCATTGTGGGAGATGTTTTGAGCTGATGTTTCTTGTACTGGATTCCATATGCAAAAGCCTGACTTCAAACCCTGACAAAGTCATAGTGCAGTTTTCTTTGGCAAGGTACCTTCCACTCATAGTACATCTCTCAATAACTAGAGTCTGAGCTCAAAGCCCTGCATTAGTAGAACTGTAAGTCAGTCTGTTTATTAGCACAAATTATAGAAAATCATGCTGTGTTAACTATATTATTGTTTTTGTGGTAGATTGGAAGACTTCTAATGAGAAAAGTGATCAGTGACTTTACAAAGATTCCTTATAATGAGGTGATACTGAAAAGAACAGAGAAGGGAAAGCCTTTCTTGGTAAGTAAGCTCATTTTAAAACCTAAATTCCTTCCCCTAGAGTCAACCCATTTCACTGTAAAATCAAAATTACGTTTTTGTTTGTCTCCCATAGGCCAATGATCCTATGGAACCATCACAGAGAAAGTTTAACTTCAACATATCACATCAGGTTGTGCATCTGTATGATATTATATGGTGACATGTCATTTATAAATTACTAACATTGATTAGAATATTGGAGCTGATTGGTTGGCAGTATTCATAGCAATTATTTATCCTAATAAAAACATCACTCAGAGCTTTGCTCCAAGGGACCTGTCATTTTTAGGAGGGGGAGGGGGAAGGGGTGTTATTAGATGCAGTTTTTGTGGGCCCTCTCCCAATTTCTTGCAAAAAAGAAACTCTAATTCTTCCCCTTGTGTGATCCAAGGTAGTTATGAACCTTCCCATGTTAAGCTTTTAAAAAATTATGTGACCCTCCCCTTCTGGGTTGCATAAAAAGTAATCACCCTTCCCCTATTTGCACTAGTTCTCTCTCCACCCCTCTCTAATAAATGACAGGTGTCTAAGACATGAAGCCGCAGAAGTGCCACTGATAGGTTCTTTTCATAATCTCTATTGACAAGTGGTGTCATTCCTACTGGGTTATTATGGTATAAGTAAGAAGATAAGTGAGATCATTAGACTCATTGGTTTCTCAGTGGTTTTCTTGCCAAAATTGACCAACCCATATGTTGGAGGAGTATCTCCAAAGAAAGAGCCACTTAAAAAAAAAAAAAATGAAGGTCAACTTTATTATCCTGGAGTGTTAAGAGAGGGTTTATGGTATTGAGCAGTATATAATTTGTTGCATTTGATCTCACTTCTATTTGTTACAGGGAGACTTCACCGTGTTAGCTGCAGAGCCTGAATCGCAAGGTATGCTTCATTTCTCTATGATCTCTTAAACCTTTAACTTCTAAGAGAAACTGGCTTCTAATTATTTCTCTCTATAATATCACCCTTGAATCAAATGTGTAGGGTATGAGAATAAAGGAAATGATCACCCATTTAAGAAGTGATTTTCAAACAAATTCTCCTTGTCGGTACCAGAGAAAATGTATTAAATGTATTGAAATAAGTATGGAGAAGTTGCATATTGATGTTGGGGTGTAAAGGGTTAATGATTAATTGATACATAATTTTTTTCATTTGTCAGCCCTTATTAATATGAAAGTTAGCTTTCAGGTATAGATTAAAGTCTTAAGTGAAGCCACAATCTCACTCCCCTTCATAAGTCTTGATGACTGTACTGTTTTTTGGCTATCAACTACTAAACAGCACCAAAATTGTTTTTCTCCTCTAGTTGGTGTTGATGTAATGAAAACAACATACCCATGTAAGTTAAAAACATTTTCAGCCTCAACTTTGAAAAAACTTAGCCCTCCTTCAAAATTGTTCTGAAACAGCGTTTAATTTAAGTTTCAAAATCATCTATCTTCAAGCTTCTTCTACTGTGCCTGGATTTTTTCACACCATGCGTAAGCAGTTTACTGGATATGAATGGCAAACAATCAAATCTCAGCCTTCCGAATGGAATCAACTGCAGATGTTTTACAGACACTGGGTATGTTTCAGTCAGCAGGTCCTTATTATGAGCGCTACCGGACGCGCGTTTCCCCGCCGGCGGGAAGATGTGTCGAGTCGGGGATCTGGCACTAATAACAATCAGAGCCAGCCCCCTTGCAGACTTCTCGCGGGCTCGCGTTGTCAACGGCCACATACTTTCCCGCGGGCAAAGAATCCCTCGCGCGAAGTACCTCGTGCCGAAACACTGATAATGTTTCAGTTTAAAGGCGCCGAGAGCTGTTGTGGGAAATTAAAGTTATTTATTATTAATGATGCATATAACAAATAAAGATGTTTTCAAACTCTTTTAAGATTCCCGTAAATGTACTATTTTAAATGTTAATTGTGAGATCACAGCCTCATAACACACTTCAATGTCAGGCAGAAGAAGATGTGTTTGTTAGAGCTATTTCCAATTTGAATTCCGTAAGCCTGGAAACATTAAAATTAACTGTTACATTGTTTCGAAATTTCCGCGAAGATGTCCAAAATTGTCGTTGTTGCGTTTCAAGTGAGACATGAAGTAAGGCGTATTTGGAAAACAAAATTACACTTAAAAGGGACGTTAATGTCAATTTTCTCTTTCGTTGGTGTAATATTCTTGAGGGCAGTATTTTTCAGCAGTTTTTTCTAGAAATTCGATTGGTCTAACGTTTCGTTTCTTTTCCAGTGTCTGAAAGAAAGTTACGTAAAAGCTACAGGGACTGGTATAGGACGTGATTTACAGTCTGTTGAATTCCAGATAAATACCAAAGAGCTGTCTCCTCAGGTTTGTTCTGCTCCTACTGAAATTGGTGGAAAGGTTTGGCCAAGATTCATTCAAGTCAAAATAATAATGCCGTGGGTCAGAGCGCTTTTCAATTGAGTGTTGTTAAACCAAAAGCAGAGTAATCACAATGGCCACTGATTCAAACGAAAGGAAAAGAGCCTGGAAGAACTGCAAATAAACACAACTAAACCGGCTAAAGCGCGGGAAAACGCGGGTGACCATGACGTGATTGGTTCGAAAAGCTGCCGTAGAAAAATTACTGTCAAGGTCCTGTTAAGTCGTATTCCTGATACCTGTACAGCAAAGAGAAAAAAAATTACAGATATTAAGAGCTCAAACGAAGAATGTGTTTTTTTCATTTTTTAGAATGTGACATCCGATACAAATTTTTTCCTTGATGAAGACGAAATGGACGGATGGCTGTTTGAAGAAACCAAACTCGATGACTTGGTAATATTAAAAAAAATTATGAAGTTTAATTACGTCTAACGTTGTGTTGTTATTAGCACAAGCTAAGGTATTGCTGTTTTGTTAAATCTTATTTTTACGACCGTTTATTTTTCATTCAGCACCAAGTGGCAGTCGCTTTAGGTCCTTCACATACAACCTACAAGGAAACAAGGTGCGAACTAAACAGCTGACTCATGTCCGCGTACACACGTAATGGTAAAATGTAGGCACAGCCCTCGTGCGATTTTTACACTTGTTTCACCTGCAAAATTGTTTTCGTCTCTTTTTATCTATTATCGCAACATTCAATCTGTCTCCAAACTTTTATCTCCAACTTTCCCTGATGAAAGTGGAGCCAAGAGTGAAGAAAGAAACGGCATTTTCTTAACTGCTCAAAGAAGATTTACACAACTAGTTTTCAGAGGAAGTATCGATACAAGACAAGGGGCACTTTGAGAAGTCCTTATGTCCAAAAACTGACATATAAATTTCTGAACTTGTCCATTAAGGTAAAATTTGTCAAATTTGTAGAAAATCTATGAGTAGTCTTCTCCTCGCGTGAAAGAACTTAGCTACTCTACTCAGCCAGAAAGTCTGCGAACAATGAAACAAAGAATTTTCTCGAACGTTGGAATTGAAATCCCAGATAGATGTAGTGTAAATAATGCAATGTCTTGCTAAAAGAAATTCAAACATTGTTTCTTAACAGATCAGGGTTTTCCACTTTTAAGATACTTCAGTTTGATGATATCGTGTCTTCAGCTATTCCGCTGTTTCCAGAAGTTGAATCAGATTGGATCGAGTTTCAGGCAAAGAAAGAAAAGTCTTAGTGATGGATAACACTGATAAAACATACAGATCGTGGACGACTTTGTGAACTGCATAGCGCTGAAATAGACCAATTCTCTTCAACGCTTTACAAGACTATTTAAAACGAATGTAAACTAAGAGAAATTGAACAAAGTAATGATGTCTTTACAAAAAAAATACTATTATCCTTTTAAAGCTTCATCGCTGAGCGACACAAGTATAAATATCCAATTTAAGATGTCTAACTGGATTATATTTGTGACATACCATGAAGTAGCTGGGCTAGGTGGTGGTATAACCATGTGTTGGGTTCGGCTAATTGAAATATTTAGACTGTATGTTCAACTTTCAATGGAAACCCATAAAGGGAAACGGGAGCTGAAAATTCACAGATGAGGGTTGTCCGAGCTTGCGTAGTATATGTACACTTGGTCTGCTGCTCTGCTTCAATATTAAAACCAACCTTGAAAGAGAACTTATAAGCATTCACGAAGACGGTTCCAAAAGCCTTGGTGCTTAAACAAGTGAAAGGGTTGGAAATCTCATTTACTGAGCACTCAAAGATCACCTTCTATTTGGCCACAATAGTGCGATAGCCTCGAAATAATCAAAAATACGAAAAAAAAACACCTTACAGCCGAAGGGACTTAACAGGATGCACAGGACTCGCATTATTTTGATTGTAGCGAATTGTCTCACATGATACGAATCCTTCTGTAAAGTGAACTGTTATGTATTGAGTTTACAGTGAGGATTAATCTGGTTTGCCCTCGATGAAGCACGACAGTTCCCAACATGACTTACAAGCCGTTTAGACAATTTTTGTATCTCCAGGGAAGCTGACTTTTTGCTCCTTACCCACCCATAGGGTTGGTGTTGGAGATGAGAGGAGTGGGCTGGGAGATTGTCGGAAGTGATCGGGACTGTGACTGTCGTAGAAACTCAATTCGAGAGAGACTTGCGCAATAGGCACTTGGCAGGCGCTCTTGATCCACGCTCGTGGACGTGTGTGCTTGGGAACAGTGCGCACGAGCAAGGAATCATTAAGTGCACTTTTTTCTACAGAGATTTCGCCCCTTTGCGGGCCTTTACTATTTACTGGGTTTCCGTGCGCCCGAGTACTCGAAGTTAACTAACAGAAGAGGAGGTTGTATTGTTGTACGTGCAGAAAACCAAGATCAGGCTTCGAGCGGATGTTTCTTTCGGATCACTTTCTGCATCTTTCATCAACCAACATACTATGGAAACAGATAAGTGGTAAATACAATGTGGTGACATAAATACGGTTTTATGTCGTCAACTTTCATCAGATTAAGTTATATGGAGGCGTTTGGCGTGGGTGTCGCGATGACAGCGCGGACGTTGTGCGTTTCCAGGATGCTCCTGATGTTTCCATCTCAAATCTCTCTCATATACGTTCAGTTTTCAAATATGCTCCAGTTGCCTGCTTGAGGCCTTTGCGTTTAATCAACGAACCGGCGGAAAGTGTGATACATCTAAAACAGTGTTGGTAGAGGGAACCAGGAGTAGCCGGAAGAAATGAAAGTTGAAAGTCTAAGCGAGGATGTATTTTAACAAGTCTTCTGCTGATCGATATACAGTGTAAACATAGCTTTGCTGACCCAAGTGACAATTTCAATGTTCATGACAAATTGTTTCCGTCGGCATGAATGTTTTGGGTCATGTACCATTTAAGAGGGTAGCGAAGCGGAACTCCTGATCCCATTCAAACACAAATTTTAGAAAAATTCGCGTGTCGCGTTTCACTTTGAACAGTATTTCACGCGTTACGAATTGAAAAGAGAAAACTCATCTTACATCGCCTTTCTGTAAAATTCAAGCTTGATGTTTTAATTTTGGCCTTAATTACGCGTTACATATAACAGCTTTGCCGCCCTCTTTAAAATTCCATGTTGTACAAGTCAAGGCACCTCATTCAGCGTGAAACCGTAGGCAAGGACGACGAAGTAATGTCTCTGAATAACCTGGCAATTACGTATATTTCTTTATGTTCCACTTGTAAAACCTATACCAACTGTTTAGCAATTAACATGGCATGAGGGGTGCAGATTTTATGCGAGAAAGTTGAAAATTAGTCACTGTTCTTATCCCTTATCGCTTACATCGTCCACAGAACCTTGAATTTGTCTTTTTTTCAAGTCGCTGGTTAAGCATGGACGGCTGAAAAGGAAACAAAATGTAAAACGCACGCGCAGAGCGTGAAGGGCTTTTTTATGTTTTTTGTTTTTTTTTGCAATTAAATTCATTATTTTTCACTTGTTGTTCTCTTTCCTATCAAAGTCGTCGTTGTTACCATAATTGAAGTGGATATGCGCATGTGCTGTAATGACGGACTCGAAATGACGTCATGAACCATACTGATTGTTTGACGGCGTTTGGTTCTTATACGATTTAAGAACATTTGAATCATGTTAATTCCATTAAAATGTTGAAATACGCTCCAAAAAAATAATTAATTAGATACACAGATCATGTTCGAGCGCTTTAAATATTAACCTTTAGCAGGAGCCCATTACTTAGTGGCTCCTGCTTTTAGTCCCCATACTACCTCTGTTAGGAGACTGTGTAGTACGCCAAAAAACAGAGGATACCGGCAATTTCATATGATATCGTAGAATTATGCCAAATCATTGTTACGAGTTCCTCAATTTGAGTTAATTCTCTTTTAACAATAGGAGGAATATTCATCCCGCGATGAATATAAGGCCAACGTCTCACCGATGTATTTAACAATTAATTTTCTGTATGGAGATACCTAAAAGTACTTTAGGTAAACGGTATGTCTTATTTTAGACCCTAAAGTTTTATTGTTGCGTGCAGGTCTTGTTGAAGAGGTATTTTGGAATGCAATATTTTATTACGTTCCTCCACAACACTTCCGTCTCGCAATTACAGGAAAGGAAATCGACCAACAATTGTTTCACAAATGAGCAGAAACTTGTTTTTGCAACATTGATCCTGTTTTCAAAGAACTCAAGAGACCTCTCAAGCAGGCCTAGGCCTTTTCAGCGAATAACACCAGTTGCCAAGTTGTTAGGTCGAATCCTGTAAGTAAATACTGGTCACCCGACTCACCTAAAATTTGAGACAAAAATTATTAGACATCAGGAAACCATGCACGTAGTGATAGTGTTGGGAATGGGTCGGGGAGGAGAGGGGGGGGGGAGAAGGTGGAGAAAGCTTAAAAATTATGTATGATTAGCAAAGAGTGTCCTAGATAGGACTACTGTTCTCGCATTGTGAGATCTAGTAGAGACGGTGAGTATAATCGCAACTCAACTGAAGAGAGAGACTTGCGCAGCAGAAGCATGACCGCGCGCTCGTGGACGTAAGTGTTTTAAAACAGCACTCTTTTTCTAGAGAGTTTTCGCCTCTTTGCGGGCCTTTACAATTTGCCAGCTTATCGGGCGCCTGCAGTGTGGAGCACTCAAAGGTGACAAAGTTTCGCAAAGGCAGAGAGAGTAGTACTGAAGTACGTGCGGAAATCGAAGATCAGGCTTCAAGCGGATGTTTGTTTTAGATTATTGAAATGCATGTAGTCACTCTGCGTATTATATAACCAACATAACATGGAACTGTTAATAAAGTGGAGACATAAATACCCTTTTTTGTCGTCATTCCTTTATCATATATAGTCAATGAGAGCGTTTGCGTAGGTATCGTGATCATAGCGCGGACATTGTATGTTTTCTTAACAATTTACACCCACGTACGATTTCAAAATGCCTCAGCTATCCGCTGTAAGCATTTCTAAACAGTGGTAAAAGTGAAATATGGAAATAAGAGCCAGTTCAGGCGATCAGGAGCAGCCGAAAAATTGAAAGGTCAACCGAATTTGCAGGAAAAAAAACTAGTAAAGGTTTATTTTAATGGACCGGCTGCTGATGGATGTCCAATCAACCCATATCTGTGCCTGGGGAAATCACCTGAGGGCAATCAAGATTTCGTTGCGAATTATTTCCGTTGAGATTTATGAGTGGGGTCATGTACTTGTAGAATTCCATGGATATACAAATCAACGCACTTTATTTAGCCATTAGTGACTCTAAGTAATGAGAACGCATACAAGAACGGGAACGCCAAACCCACGAAAAGACCGGTTAGTAGAGCCGTACGTTCTGACGGAAACAAATAATTGTTGTGGTTAGTTAAGAATTTACGCGCGTGCCCCAATGACAGATTAGAAACGTGCTGTTTATCTGACAAATCACTGGCATACGTGATCTTACCCGCGATCGGCAACGATTTCTCCTTTAACGAGATCGTAATAATTCCATTAAAATATTCAAATGCGCTCAAAAATGTAATTACATGAGCAAATCTTGTTTAATCTTGTTGTAATCCACACTCCTTCCGCCAGGTGACTGTCTGGTTTGTACGTCAAAACAGAGACCAGCAAGTTCACGTAATACCATTGCGGCCGAACCAGCGAAATTAAAGTTTCTTCAATTTGAGGCGCTCTCCTTTTAATGGTAGAAGGACTATTAAACTGCTCGTGTTACGACGTAAAAAAAAAAACACTTAATGGCTAAAAATTATCTCTCCGTCCATAAAAGTTTCACCAAGATCAAAAACAAATTTGCAGTTACAGATAATAAGAGATCTTTTGAATAAATTAATAAACAATTGAAGGTCACATAATTAATCGACATTTTTTACAAGGCATTTAATTTGTATAAGATCGAGTTCACAGTAACTTTTAGCGCCTTTTACCACATGACCTAACGTAATAATTTCTCGGAAAGAGAGGACATGTTAAACCGGAAGGAGGAGCCAACTAATTGCTCCTCTTACCCCAAAAGCCAGGTTTATCAATACTTCCGCCCCAGCATACAACGGAAAAATTTTGGTACTCTCTTCTCTCCTTAGAAGTACCCGGAAGTACCTTGGGAGAACGGTGTATTGCATTCAGGCCATGAAAACTGAGAAGGTTAAACTGCAGTGTGTTTATGTTTTTTTCTGCAACTCGTCTTTCCTGTAAGAATGGAGAAGCAAATCGACGAACATTTGTTTGACAAAAAGAATAGGAAATAAAATTTCCTTTTGCGACGTTGATCCTCTTTTGAAGAAACCCAAAAGGCTTGTCAAGCAGGAAGGGAGGAGGGTAGCTTTCTCCATTAGCTGCCGTTTTGAACAAGGAGATGTCATCCGACGCCACGTTGCGCTGTCATGCAAGGAAGTACCTTTGTGATATGACCCAACAACAATTTGCAACAAAATCACGCGACAACAGGGAACTATCCAAGGGCTGCTGTTTACCCAGCCACTTAAAAAGCAGCTACTTCACAGTTCGTGCATCTTTCAAAAAAATTTTCCCGACATTTTTGTATTCGTCATTTGCAACCTGAGTTAATCTTCGTTAATCTTCTTCCTTTCTCTCACCTGGGCAATTTATCATTTCGAAACTTCCGTGTGTCTCAAAGTTTTTAAATGTCGTAACCTGATATCGAGATGTAACTTCTTAACAAGGAAACCCTTGTAAAAACTCTCCCACTTCCCACCCTCCCCAATCTTCATTCAATGTCGGGAGAGAGATAAAAACTGAAAATGAATTTTTGAGAAATGTGACAAATCATCACAGCGTGCAAATTTATAACTTTGAAATTTAAAATGAACTTGATTCTATAATAACAAACTTATCAAGAGATCGCCTCTTTTGCCCCAGGAAAGCCCTCTCAGAGGGTAGGGTCGCGTATCATTCGGAAGCATATTCGCTGTACAGCCCCCTCCCCTCCCCTCCCTGAAGGCTTCATACAATCATGAGTCACGACGGTGTCACCCAAATAATCGCGTGGGTGTCAGTTGTGTGAATGCACTTTTGATTGACATGTGACCGTGGAAAAAAGTGTTCCGTTCGCTCGAATTCCTGATAGTTTACAGTCAGGGTCACTTTCACGTAGCAGCTCTGTGCAAACCAGAATTGACTTAAAATGGGCAGCGCTGGTGGTGAATCGGTATGCTTCGGGGCTTTAGAAAGGTAAGAGAATCACATTTGTCTTAGAAATTGGAAAACTTCCTCCACCGTTTGGTTTGGGTTTCTTCACGCATATTTTGGATCATTTAGTATTGAGGAAGTCCTTGCTTGTGTAATTTGTGCAGTCAAGAGTTTGGGAGGGTGCCTTGATTTTGTAGCATCTAATTGTGAAACATTGCTTCGAATCGAAACAATCGAAATTGAAATAACACCGATCGGCAGTCTTCAATCGATAAGATGATCGCAGAAAACGATCAAATAAACACATAGACCAATAACTGATATTCAGAAATTGGCATTGAAAACATATCTCTCAGCAGTGAAGCACTCTTATGTCGTAATATGTTGATTATAAGCTCGTTTTGATCGCTTAATTGTTATTTTCTTGCGAAAGCAATGAATACCAATGAATTTGTAGTTAAGATAAATATAATACTTCCTCAATAACATTCTGCGTTAAGATATTTAGCCGGACATTGATGAGGTTCAAGAGTCTTTTTAATAATTCCCTTACTCGTTTTTTTTTGGTGTGTTCATTTATGGTAATGTCGCCATTTCCTGTGTCGCTGCTTGCGCAAAATAAAGGAATGTTGGAATTTTTCAAATCCCTTTGAAAATGTCCGGTGATGGCTAGTAATTGAGGGGGGCATTGGGGTCTAACAGAAACCGAAAAACGATAGAAAAAAATTATCCAAAACCGCAAAACCGCAGAAAAATGCGATCAAAACTGATAACCGCACGTAAAACCGTCAAAACCGATAAATTTTCGCATCACAGTTATCTAACCCCTAATCGATCCGATACAGTTAGACTGCTGACTTGTGGAGCATACAGAGGTTTCGCGGCCATTCGAGATCAGTGGAGGCACATAATTTTCGCTCAGATCGAGAAGAAACGGGAACCCAAATAGGAAAAACCGAAAATCACATCGGATATCAAATCCGAAGACCCATTAGTGATTTTTACGGACTGAAAACCGAAAACCAAATACTAAAAAACGGAAAATCCGAAGTTTATTGGCACTACATGAGAAACCTAAAAAAATAGCTGAAACCGTTAAACCGTAAATCCCAATGCCCCCCTTAGTAATTGGTATTAGTAAGGGGGACGAACTTTGAAGTCGAAATCAGGGAAAAAATTAACATTGACCGAGATGACCTCGTTTTGGAAGAACAGACAGATCGATTAGGTCATCGATTGGAGACATTGTGATTATTACAACGTTTATGATGTTTATCTACGCCCCGAGACAACTGGAATTACTTTTCTTTCAGTTTACAATTCAATACATTGATTACAAATTGCGCGGTAATTTATAATTGGATAACACGAATTTTCCCGGAATATCGCAATCGAAGTTAATGATAAGCCTCTGTAGCTATCGTAGCTGGCAGCAGTGGCAGCAGTGACATTCGCTGATATTCAACATGTCCAGTTTTTAGCAGGTGGTGTTAGATTCCCCTTTTTTTGAGATAAACTTGCCGACTCAGATCTTTGGAAAACGTGTGAGAATATCACGGGTCTTTCTCTCAAGTACCCACAGCTTCCGAAGTGCATTTAAGCATCGCCCACACAGCCAATTAGGTAGAGATTCTTTCATTTCATACCATAGATTTGAGCAACCATGCAGAGAACCGTGTATACACTTAACATATCGAGCGTGATTGTCTAATCCCTTCACAGAGAACAAGAGATTGAATTGCAAGGTGCTATGGAGAGAGCAGACAGCTTCTACGCGGTAGCGTTGCTCGTTGCGGCAATGTGTGCTTTGTGGATCATCAAAAGGCTCTACAAAGATACATTTTTGACTGATTTTCGTGAGAAGTATGTTTTGGTCACTGGTTGCGATTCAGGATTCGGAAGGGAAACTGCATTACGACTCGACAGCCTGGGATTCAATGTATTTGCGACGTGTCTAACGAGCGAGGGGAAAGAAAACCTAACCGCGGCGTGCAGCAAAAGGCTATCCGCTTTGCACTTGGATGTTACAGACTCGGAAGAAATCAAGAAGACATACAAGTTTGTGGCGCAGTATTTACCTGAAAATAGAGGTAAATTACCGTATATTTATTTTTTTCCTACTGAATGTTTACTTTGAATTGTTGATCTAGTTTTTATGAATTATCAGACATATTGTGTTGTCATGTTCCAAGGTGATTACAAGCGTGACACAGATGTTGTCCTAAAGGATTTCTGTTGTCGGTTGAAATAGTTTAAATGGCATAAACTATACGTGGATAAACAATTCACCTAGTAATAAGCCAGTAGATAAACAGATCAGCCTGAGTAATAATATTTTCCATAAGTCTAAGTCCTCGATAAAAATATAAATACAACTTTTTAATGAAATTTTGAAAACGAGGAAATTGGAGATTAAACTAACACAGCAACACGCTTCCCTTCGGAAGGCAAGCATGGGTTACACTCTTGGCTTCGCGTGGAAACATTAAAGTGCGATTTTGTCACATAACTTCGCGACTCCAACGCATGATAAGTGTTTAAAAATCAACGAAGAGAGGACAACGGAAATGGCTCACTAATTGAAGTAAAGTCCTCCGAAACCATTTAATTGAAGATATCTCTTTGACTCTTGCCCCAGCACGAGATAGGATGTTATCATCGAGGGGGGAGCAAGTTATCGCAGAGTATCGTTTCAGCGCTTAACGAGATTGAACTTATAAGCGAGGTACGATCATATTCCCGGCTCATTGTTGTAAAAAAAATGAGTCACTCAATCAAAGACGAAAATAGCTTTTAGACACGAAATGCCTGGTGTCTGTAATGACATCAAACGCGCCGTGGATGTTTCGTGTAAGGATATGTCACTATGTAAAATATTCTAGCAAACAATGGAAGCACTCGCGCCCCTCTTTAAACAATCAAAGCAACCATAACTGAAAGTGCATGTTCAGAACCCATTAATGAGTAAGAAGAATGGTCTAATAAAGATCTAAATACGGTTTCCCAAAATAGCCGCATAAATTTGGTTAAAAACTTAGCTTGAGATCAAAGCCATTCAAAAGCCGCTTTCTTTTTGAAAATGTTTTTAAAAGGTGCCTGCTTGAATTATTCTCTACTTTGGAAACTGAAAATAGTGTACGTGTTTCTTTTAGCTTTAACGGCACATTCTTTGAGTTTTCGGTCAGACCTCCTTGTGCACGAATGCAATTGTCGGTTTCTCCTTGAATGGCAGAAAAAATTCCTTTTACCTTTTTATTATACTTCATATCCGGCCATAAAATGCCTTAAATGGCTTTGAGATGGTAAGCCTTAAGAGGGAGAAAAACATTTTTCACGGAAAACATCTATTCCTGTTTCAGCGAAATAATACGAAAAGGAATGTTAATTTCATAAACTGACGCTTCGTACTGTAATATCTCTGTCCAGCTTTAATACAATAGCACCATTGATCAAAAAAATATTATGCTACCCTCTCTTTCACCGCACAGTATACATCTATTTGAAGTTGTGCGAGAGGTATAAATAGAAGGGTAGCAGACGATTGTTCGACGCACGCCCTAAAACATTTTCGTTTTAATTGTCATTTCCGGTAGGAACATTGGTCAGCTTTCGTTTGGATTAATTATTTTGGTATATTAAATTTATAACGAACTGAGATGAGCACGGGTGATAAACTCAATCGATAAACAAACCGAGCCGCAAACTCGTTCATCGCATGCGTCAAACCGATAAAGTCATGCACATGTACATGTAAAGTAATTATTTCATTTGGAAAGCTCTTCAAATAAGCTCCCTCCGACTTATCCACCCTCATGTTTATGGGAATTAGTGTATATTTCAAATAACTGCACGACGATGCCCTCACTTTCACATGATATACAGAATATTGTTTTGACCGACTAGAAAAAAAATTGTTTTGGGGGTGTTGTTTAGTTGATGAAGGACGGTCTTAAAAATGAACTCAACACACCTGTGACATGAGGTTCGTATACAACCCAAGAAGTCTTCCAGGAGAGT